AATGCCGTTAGCAAGCCTATGCTTCTTTGTTTTGTGTCCATATAAAGGTAGTAGGATAGAGTGCTGAACCTGGAGTCATGAAGACCTGAGTTCAAATCCTGCCTCCCTCACTAGCTATGTGGCCCTGGGCAAGTCATTCTGTTCCCCACTTTCATCCTCTGTAAAATGGGGATAATAATATAATAGTACCTACACCTTAAGGTTGTTGTGAAGCTCAAATGAGGTAATATTTGTAAAGCACTTAGCACAGTGCCTGGACTGTATTAGGAACTTAATAAATATTTGTTTCCTTTACTTCCTATTTTGTTATTGACAACTAGGTTATTCCTGAACAGAGTTCTCTCTGTGGTTATAGATATCTTTTCTTGAATGAGTTTAATGTACATGGAAAAAACCTAGTTAGATGCATACTAGCTGTAAAGCTTTAAGAATGAATTTTATATATCAATACACTTTTGCAGTCTACAAACAGTAAGTACAACAAGATCTTGACAGCTGTGGAATTTGGGTAGTTGTGGAACTCCAAATCCACCAGAAAATCACAAGATGGAAAAAAAAAGTCAGGCATCAACAAAGTAGGTTTATATTGACCCAAGCTACCTATAGATAAGACACCTAGTGGCATGTCCAACACTGCATCAAAAATGTCTGCTTTCAAATGGCAAAGAGAGGTTAAAAGAGGGGGCCACTGGATGTCAGGAAAAAAGAATACGCCCAAGGGATGGCAAGCTGTTCATTTTGATTGTGTCAGGATCCCATGACCTCTAAGACCAACACACGACAAAGAATAGGGTAAGGCTCAGAAGGTGCTACCAAGGATACATCTTATAACCAACATATCATCACCTAACCATTTGGTATGCTGTGTCCAATAACAAGAGGAGGAAGAGGAGGAGGAAGAGGAGGAAGAGGAGGAGGAGGAGGAGGAGGCATGTTTGCAGGTTTTGCCAAGGACTTTCTATACATTTGATACTCATTACTGCTCTATGAGGTGTTGTTGATTCAGTCACGTCCTGACTCTTTGTGACCCCAAGGACTTATCTAGGAGGTTTTCTTGGCAAAGACACTGGAATGGGTTGCTATTTCCTTCTCCAGTGTGTCCTCATTTTTACAGATGAGGAACTGAGGCAAACAGGGGGTAAGTAACTTGCCCAAGGTAACACAACTAGTAAGTGTCTGAGACTAGATTTGAACTCGGATCTTCCTGACTCTAGGTTGGCACCCTACCCACTGTACCACCCAGATGTTCCAAACTACAGCCCTGTAAGATAGATACCATTGTTATCCTCAATTTACAGATGGGGGAACCAGTTTTCAGAGGAATTAAGAGACATGGTCTCACAGGTAATATGTGTTAGAAGCAGGACCTGAAACCCTACCTTCCTAATTCCAAAGCCAGCCTCCATCCATTATACCATACTACCTCTCCAAGATGTAGGCCAGCCCACAACACAGTCCAGAAGGCTTTTCCAGGGATATTCACAATAAAGGAGAGAATAGACACACAGGAGCAATCACCCATGCCCAACAGACCCTTGAAACCACGCTGACCTTCCACATAGAAGCCTCCCTGGGCTTTCCCCTTTCACTCTCTAACTCAAACCACACTCACCAACAGCATTATAAAGGACCAGCCTGTAAACAAAACTCCAGCCCAGATGTTCTGACTATCCCTGCTTTTATGTGCTCTCTACAGGCAGTCTCAAAGAGAGGGGCTGTCACTCCTTCTAGTGCTATAGATAGCAGCTGCTGCCTTCCAGTCCCCTAGATCCAACTGAATTGTAAAGCAGATACAAGTTGGTATGAGATGAAGCAGGAAAGACAGGTTGCAGTCAGATTATGGAAGGCCTTGCATCCCAAGCTAAGGAGTCCGGGCTTTATTCAGCCGACAATAATGAGCCATTCAAGCAAAAAAGGGACATGACAATATTTTTCCACAAGGAAGATTAACCCAGCAGCAGCACTAAGACTGAGGGTGAAGAGAGATTGGGGGTGGGCAGACCAGTGATGTGTGTATTATAATACTCCAGGCAGTGAGAATAGAAACAGTTACAGATGTCAGAAATATTGAGAAAGACAGAATCAATATGACTTCATTAACCAATTGAATGTGGATGGGGAGGGAAAAGAAAGAGTCAAAAGTAACTCATGATACAGAAGGAAAAGTGTTGGATTTGAAATAAGAGGACCAGGATTCAATTTTTGTATCATCTTGCCCATGACAAATGTATTTTCTTCATAGCATTTCAGGGTACTACCAGTATCATGACTCCTCAAGGTTTTCAAGGCTGGGCTAGGTTGATAATTCCTCAAGTCCAAATAAATATTTCATAACCCTATCCCATCTCTACTCATTTTCTGGATTCACATTGATGAGTTATGACTCACATCCCTAACCCTGCCTTCCCATCCCCAACAAAGCCCTTCACAATTCTATGTCACAATCCCTCCCCTAATCAAAATTCTTTGCCCCATGAAGATGAAATCAGGTAAGTACTGGAAGAAAAACAATCTATTGTGTTAATTCTCACTAAAGTATGAAAGACAACCCGTTTTCCCCAATCCCTGCCCCAGTTAAGCCAAATGAACCCTAATTGGTAGAAATTTCAGCAGTGTGGTAATCACAGTGATGTGAAAATCTTCCCCCATTGTGTGGGAAGATTTTTTGGGCAGAAGAGTCACCAATAAGAAGTCCAACCTTGACTGAACTTAAACTGTTCTGCTTTTTTTCTTCTGAGATTCTTCCTTTCCTCTGCTTCTGAACCTACAGATGCACTAAAATGGCCCGATTCTGCATGAGGCCTCTCATGGCATGCGAGAAAGTAGGTAAAAGTTTGTAACTGTAGGCAATTTTGAAGTCAGAAGATATCAGCTTCCCCCCTTCCTCCTCCAGCTCAGAATTAAGCCACTAAGAGCTCATGGAGAATGGAGCTTTTTGGAAAAAACCAAAAAACAAAAAACACGTATACACAATGGCCACACCCTCTTAAGGACCTGGTGGAAAAGAGACACAGTTTCCCTTATTCTAAATGCCACCTTAGCTCTGCCTCCTTCTCAGAAAGAGAGCTTGGGGACCCCAGCAAGTAGGTCATTTCTCAGCCACATTCCCAGAATAACACAGACGAGGTTATAGCATCGAGGATATTAGAGCCAAAAGGACCTTAGAGATAGGTATTTGTGTGACCAGTTTGTTGAACCTGGAGACAAAGTAGCTTGTTTTCCAAATTTCTTCATTCCAGCTTGCATAGACCTTTTAAAATACTCATTATGTCATCTGAAGTACTTACTATCTTTCTCTCTCAGCTTTGCATCATTTACAGATTTGATAAGCATGCCATGTACATTTTCATGGAAGTCAGTCCTGGCTGTTTCTCCAGTTTCCATTACTGTAAATGACAACTCTGGAGGTCATCTCTGGGCTGTAAGAGGAAGACTTTATACTCCTCCCTATCTTGTTTTGTGAGGGGGGGGTGGATGGGAAGGGAAATTGTTGACTAGAAACTCATAAAGTCCAGAATTTTAAAGCTGGAAGCAACTCAGCTCTCCCAATTCATCCTTCCCACAGTTGCCAAAATAATCTTACAAGGCACAGGTTGCTCTACTGCTCAGAAATCTTCAGTAGGTTGTGCTGTGTAATTATAATGACAAAGCATGGCCCTAGAGAAGAGATGAGAAAATGCCCCTCCCTCCTCTTATTGGAAAGATGAAGGTGGTCAGATGTAACTGATGTGTCAGTTGGTTTTGCTGAACTGTTTGGCAGTTTTTGTTTTTTAAATCTTCATTAGAAGGGAAAGTTCAATGGACAGGGCATAGTAAGGGGTATATTTGGAAATGAATGTGACATAAAAACAAAAGGCATCAATAAATCTTTTTTTTTAATTCAGTGGTTCCCAAATGTATATAAGATACAATACAACCTCCTTAGCCTATCATTAAAGGTCCTCCACAATCTGATTTTGATTTGTTTCCACCTTGTTTTTTCACATTACTCTCATTTTTGAATTCCAAATTTCAGTCAAATTGAACTACCAGCTGCTTACAGAACTAAACATGCCATCTCCTGCCCCCATGCATGGCTGAAAGACAGATTCTAAAGCCAGAAATGCACTTTCTCCTTATCTCACCTCTCAGATTCTTCGCCTTGTTTCAAAGCTCTGCTCTGGTGCAGCCTCTTCCATGTACCCTTCTCTGATTCCATTTTCCCTCACTTCCACACTTGCTTGCCCTGACAACTGAAGACTAAACAAGGGGGAAATATGCTTATTGCCCCAAGGGGATTGGGGGGGGGGGATGTGGAGGTGTCGGGGGAAGCATTCCCTAGCTGTTAAGACTAGGAGTCAATGGAACCGAAGCACAAGAAACTAGGGAGAGGCAACTTCCTACTCCATAGAGAGCAGAAGGAATGGAACCCACCAGCCCAGAGCAGATACCAGAGAAAGGATATGCAATCTTCACTGCTTCTGAGGGGCTACTCAGTTATGGAAAAATACCTAGCTTCCTATGAAGGTATATTAGAAAATCCCAAGACTCAAACCTCTAGAATGGAAACATAAAATCATAAGATGTAAACGCCTGAAGAGCTAGTGGAAGATGTGAGAAATTAGGGGATGAGGAGGGATTTTAAACCCATCAATGTTGAGGCCGAGGAGATGAAGAGGGAGGGGTATAGATGCCTGGATCCTTCGCTCCAGACTGGTTTCCTTTAAAGTCCTCTGGAAAAAAATGGAAAGGGTAGAGCAGAATGGGGTGGGGGGGGGAGAAATGGTGAGAGATGTTCAAGACTCTCTCCTTCCCAAACCTGGGTGGGTCTATTAAACCTCCCAAACAGCCGCAGAACCCATTTTCTCTCCCGCAGGGAGGTTTACCAACCCCCACCACCACCCCCGCTTTCCTCCCAAGCCCTCCTTCTCCAACTATCTTCCTGCACCCCCACCCCAGCCAATTCCCTACCCAGAAGCTGATTGGTGGAGCTTCTCTGCCCCTCCCTCTAGTCCCCAGTCTGAAACTGCGGGCTCTGAGCCCCCTTCTAGGGCTTACAGACAACCTCTCATCTTGCTGAGGAAGCAGTGGCGGAGACGGAGGTAGCAGCGGAGAGGCTTGGCCCACAGGTAAGCGTCCGGTACCGGCCTCAGGTCCAGCTCTGGTATGATTCTAGGGGGCAGGGGGCAGACAGAGCAGCGCAGCCTGGGCTTTCAATCCTGAGCCATCTGTCCCTGGGCAGCTCCCTCTGCCCGTTCCACCACCTGGGGAATTCCCCAAGGTGAAGAAGACAGTCCTGGACGACCCCGGTAAGAAGGGTTCCCAAGAGGGGGTGGCGTGCAGTGCGAGGGGACCCAGAAAAATAGCTAGCACTGAATGCTGGCAATGTGGAGCGCTTCATTGGGTAGACAGCAGTCTGGGCAGCTGCAGAACAGGGGAGTTCGCTGCAGAGGGAGGAACAGAAGGTTGCAGGACAGGAGAAGCTTAGGATTGCACTGAATTGGAGAAGATTGGAGGCCCGAGAGAGAGAGAGAGAGAGAAGCACCCCGCTTTGCCTGGAGCCCCCTCCGTTCTACCAGCTAAAGGACGGAGCTTCACCAACCGCGGGGAACCGGAGAAGAATTGGGGGTTGGGGAGCTTGGGGCGTGGGCAAAGACAAGCCCCTGACCTTGTCTCACGTTTAGCTCGCAACCCCTCTTCCCAGCCCTTAACAGACACCTCACACCTCACACCCCTATTGAAATGGGAGTTTGGATCGGGGATCCTAAAAAGCTTCCTCGAGATTTAACCTGGGGAATTGAGACTGGCAGACTTCAAGCTCTGCGGGTGAACGGACTGCGGGAATAGGGAGCACCCCTCGGTGCGGGAAAAAGCTGAGCCGCAGTACCGGGGGAGGGGAGAGGGCAGGCGGGAGGGAGGGGCTGGAGGAGGGAATCCGGCAGAAGGGGGAGGGGTCTCGTACTGGGAGAGGAGGGGAGAAGAGGACTGAAGAGACTGGGAAGGGAGGGATGCAGAACTAGGGAGAGGAGGAGTATGGTAAGGATGTGGGTGAGAGCAAATGGGACTGCAGAAGACCTACTGAAAGCTAGGATAGGAGAGAAAATTAATCCAACCTATGCAACCCATCTTCTACTCTTCTCCTCTCTTTCACCTCTCCTCTCTTCTTCCCTCCTCTGTTCCCTGTTCTCCCTTCCTATCCCTCAGTTTCCTCTCTGCCACGATCCCGCCCCCTCGCTCTCATCTCTTCTTCCTGATTCTGCTGCGCTGGCTTTCTCTCTCTCTCTCTCTCCTCTCTCTCTCTCTCTCTCTCTCTCTCTCTCTCTTTCTCCCCACCCCCACCCCCACCTCTCTTGCTCCAGTCTCTTTTTTCCCCCGGCTCCCCTCCCTCCTCCTTCTCCCCTACTCTTTTTGGCAGATTGAGCCCGCAAAATGATCCCTTTCCCTCCCCCACCAAATCCCTCAAAACTCAGACTCTGGGGAGACTAGTCACTTTGTCTAAACCTTATCATTTTCATCTTTGTTGCCCCATTTCTCTCACAGCTACATTTGAGGTGATAAAAAGCTAATAATATCCAAGGTTGAGGACCAGGGACGTGGAAATTCTGGCTCCTCAGAGTCATCGTGGTGTGCCCCCAGCTCCCCAACACATATGTGTTCATGACTTTCTGAGATCCTCGTCCCCTCCCAGTGCATCCACCCCACTTGACTAAGTCCCACACCTCCCCCCATTCCACCCACCATACCACCCAAAGGATGTGTCCACCACTCCCAAGGGCACACGCATGTGTTTGCTTTCCCTCAAGCACACGTGCGTGTACATGCTGACACCTGTCCTGGACTGCAAAAATTTGCTTGGACCCTTAAATGCCTTGGGGATGCCCTAGGATTACTCTGAGGATGGTGTGTTCTGGAAGAAGGAATGGGCACGGCTTGTCAGTATCTAACAAGGGAAGACATGGGCACAGAGCCAGTAGGGTGGATCCCCCTGGAGTTAATCTGAGAAACTGCAGCCGGAGGGGAAAATGGGGAGGAAGAGAGGAAGAGAGAAGGGAGGTGGGGAGATAAGAGAAAGGAATGGGAGGATCTTTCCTTATTTGGAAAGACCATTAGCCTCCACCCATCTAGAAGTACATCTAACACACACACACACACACACACACACACACACACACACACATTTATCCTCCCCTGTGCAAACACATCTGGAAATACCATTAGCAACTCCCATACACACACCTGTGAGTACCTTTAACCTCTTCCCTCCCCCTAGTATGCACATACACCACTGTGGGCAGGTCACTTATTCCCCTAGCCTGGACTTTTCCTGGTAAGGAGAGAGGACCTGGTATCAGCCTAGCCCACTCACCAATAAGATAAGAGACAGGTATCTATTTTTAAAAAATAGATACTTTGGGCATGCTGTCTTCCAAGATAGAGCATAAGCAACTAGACGGCAGAGGCTGTGTCCCCAGCATCTAGCGCAAGTAGCCCCCTTCTAAATGCATGCAGATTGATTGACCATGGGATATATGTACTTAGTGGTCTGGATGACAGGCTAGGGTAAAGAAAACCTAGGTTCAAGCTCTCCTTCTTTCACTGAGTTGGTATTTGATCTGCCCCAGTCACTTCATACCTAGGCAGGAGATATTAGGGTCACAGATTTAAAGCTAGAACCTTAGAAACCCAATCTTCTTTCCATTTTACAGAAGAGGGAACTTAGACTTAAAGGTAGAAGGTGACTTGCCCAAGATCACATGAGTCATAATTATCAGAGCCAGAAGCTCTGAGAACCTGGGAACTCTGACTCCAGACCTAGTATTCTTTACATTATACCCTGACTGCCCTTACTATTATAAAGCTTAAATGAGATGCTGCATGTTGAAACATTTTACAAAGTGCTATGTAAACCTTTTCAAAGTAAGGTACCTCCCCAGCTAGTGAATGCAATCTTTCTCTCAGGAGTCCCTCTGGGCCTGGCTGGTGACACTTTTGCTGCTCCCTGAGTCTGCACCCTCATCCTGACATGTTGAGTCCCAAGATTGGCATCGCTGTCCTGCTGACAGGTAGCAGGTTAAGGGGTAGTGGGGATGGGTCTCTCTCTTCCTCTAGGTTGGTTTCATTGGGACTTCAGAGCTATCTCTCTTTCTGAGAACAGCGGAGAAGAGCAGACCCAAAATCCAATGCATAAAAGAGGTGATATCTGCTCATGAAGAGACAAGGAGTATGGCATGATTCTTCAGGGGTCATATGAGGAGGGGTGGGGGAGGGACATGGCTTACATGGAACACACCTCACCTCTTCCTATTGCCTGCCTATTCCCAGGAACAAAAAAAGGCAAAAAGCGCCAGCCCTCTTTCAGCTCTCTTGGAATGGGGATGGGGGATTCATGAAGGAAGTACATTTCTTTCCGGGCCCCTTTCTCCCTCTAAGCTCCCTCTCTCTGCCCAGCCAGCTCTGGGGTGGTCCTGAGTCAAGTCCCAATAAAGGGTGGTTGGGTGCATGCACCAGTCTTGCAGGTGGCCTATGGACAGAAGGTGAATGATCTGACTGCTTGTTTGGTGGACAAGAGCCTGAGAGTGGACTGCCGATATGAAAATAACACCAAGTCCCCCCTTCAGTATGAGTTCAGCCTGACCCGAGAGAAACAAAAGCACGTGCTGAACTCCACAATGGGAGTGCCTGAGCATGCCTACCGGAACCGGGTCAACCTCTCCATCTCCCATAACTACATGGCCCTCTTCCTGAAAGACTTCAACCAAAAGGATGAGGGCATCTACTCCTGTGACCTGCGTGCTTCTGGGGTCCCCAGCTCCTTTGTCAGCAAGAACATCACTGTCTACAAAGGTGAGGGGAACCCTAAAGGCCAGGAGGATAGGAGACGGTGTAGAGAGAAAGTGGGCAGTGGAAGAATGAGAAGAGAGAGAGTCCCAGGGCTCAGCAAAAATAAAAAGCCCCTGAATGGAAGGAGAAAGGTTTGGGGAAAGGAAGAGGTTTCTCTAGAGCAAAAAACAAAATGGAACCCCTGGGATGGAAGTGGGATAATCAAGACTTGGCCAGCAGGCTTGGAGGGTTTCCCAGGACACCAGAGTTCCATGGGGCTTTGGGGAGAGGATGATGCAGTCCCATTCCAACTGGGAAAGGACATCCTGGAGTCCTTTGGACTTTGGAAGGAGAAGGAGAGGAGTCCTGTCATAAAGAAAGGGTATTCTAATTTCTCCAACTCTTCTCTCTCTGCCTAAACTCACTGTCACCTGATGCCCCCTTCAGTTTGATTTCTGGGCACTTTCAGTAACCATTATGTGTCTTCACTCCCCAAAAAGACCATTCCTTTCTATGACCTCTTCCCTCTTCTGCTCTAGAAAGTTATGTTCCAAAAAAAAAAAGAAAGTTATGTTCCCCCTTGGGCAAGAGGGGAAGTAGCTGACCCAGGTCTGGAGCTTTGGGTATGTCCCACCATACATGCCAATGCCCACATGCTGCTCCAAGTTTCAGTTGGGCCTAGCTCTTCCCCCTCCCCCAATATCTTCATTCTTACATGATATCTTTGCTCTCTTCTTTCTCATCAGATAAACTGCAAACCTGTGGGGTCATGAGCCTGCTGGTCCAGAACACTTCCTGGCTGCTGCTGCTGCTGCTCTCCCTCCCCCTCCTACAGGCCACGGATTTTGAGTGTCTGTGATTGGCTGGGGGACATGGAGGAGACAAAAAAGATGAGGCCAAACCCCAGGAGCCCCCCTCTCTCTGAGCTGGCTGTCCCACTTCACCCCCCACCCTGGGGAGGTGAGAGGAGGCAGGGAACCCACCCCTATAGAGGAATCCTAGTTCCGCATGCCATCATTCAGCTACTCTTCCTCCACCTTGCCGCCTTGCAACCCACAATCCCCTTACCTGGTACTACCGGCTGCATTTTTGTATTTGTCATTCCAGGGCTGCTTCTGTGATTTGTTTGAGGTTATTTTTCTTCTTTTCTTTCCTTCGGAAGTTTTTAAAGCAGGGAGCAAGGGGGCAGAGGAGAAACCAAGCCAGCTTTTGGATTGGCAAGGATGATTCGCTATGACCTCAAGAGAGGCTCCACAGAGGATATACATGGTGGCATGGGGGAAGGAGGCACTTGGGATCTTCTTTCCCTGCCTGAGTTTAGGAGGACAGGGAATGATACAGGGGAAGCAGTAGGTGAGAGGTGTCATGTGTCAGCAGCATCCCACGGCCAAAATGGGAAAAACATGGGAACCATTCCTGAGTTAAAGGAATCTAGATTCTAGGTTTCCCAAGCCTGCCATGTTGTTTTTACCTAGCTGAAAAGAACCACACTAGAATGGTCAATTGGAAATGCCTCCATCTTACCACTTTCAGAAAATCCCTCTCTGGCGAGAAACCTAGGAACAAATGCAGAAGGGCCTAGAAAGAGAGGGGCATAGAAGTGGAGAAAAGAGGGGGAGGGAAAGCTATACTGAGCAGTTTCAATGAACTGCCTGAGAAGTGCTCCCTCTAGTCTCTGCATCCAACCCTAGCGAATGGGGGCCTAGGATAAAGACAGGGACAGTGAATCTCCCAGTACTCCCTTCTCTGTTATATTCATCTTCCTCACCCTCTCACCCTCCACCCTTGACTTTCACAAAAGCTTCCAGAATTCAAACCCAGGAGCTGATGAGCCAAGTCAGGCTGTACCCAGATAACTGGATCCTTCCACACAAAGGAAGCCTCCTGTTTGAAGAGACTAGGCAGTGAGCTAATGGCATAGGTGTAGGTGGTAGCCACGTCCCTGAGACAGCACCTCTTCTGGGGCATTCCTGTCCCCTTCCCTATTAATTGGACTGCTCAGGTATCTCTGGCGACACCACAGACCCACGCTGGAGTTTTCTGAGGAGTACAACAAGGAAGACCAATAAAGGGTGCCAATCTTCATGAAATGAGGTCTAAAAAACCAGAACCCAGCTCCCCACGACCACTGGCATTGCTGTCTTGTCCTGTGATCATGTGTATTGTAACCACAGCTTGTTGTGTTATGGCATCTAGGCAAGGAAAAAACTACACAATAAAGCCACGCCTCTGGAGTGGGCTGCTGTTGTTATCTTGAGGGGATGGGAGGGAGTTAGGGGCAAGGGCAATAATCATTAACGTTTATATAGACCTTTAAGGTTTACAAGGCACTTTACAAGTATTATCTTATTTGATCCTCATAACAACTCTGTAAGAGTTAGGTATTATCATCCCCATTTTGCAGAAAATTGAGGCTGAGACTTGTTACGTGATTTGCTCAGGATCACACACCTAGCAAGTGTCTGAGTTGCTGTGGAAGGGTGAACTTGAAGGAACAAAGATGCTTCTGCCCTCTGACCTGGACATTTCCACAGCTGTCATAGAATAAAAGGTTGGACGAGATCTCAGAGACCATCTAGTCCAACCCCTCATTCTACAGAAAAGAAAACTGGGATCCAGAGAGGGATAATGACTCATCCCAAAGCCATCAATCTTCATCATTCAGTTCAATTTAGATGTATCTTATTCATCATTTGGATCCCAATAATAATAGTTAGCATTTCTATAGCTCTTCAAAGTTTGAAAAGTGCTTTGTCAGTGCTATCCCATTTTATCCTCACAATAACCCTGGGAGAGAAGTGTGATTATTGTCCTCCTTTTACAGATAAGAAAGTTAAATGAGCTGCCAGGGTCACAAAGCTAATAAGTGTCTAGGGCAGCATCTGAACCCTAGTCTTCCTGATTCCAATTGAACTACCAAGGTGCTACCGTAGTGCTTAATGTTTATTCAATTCACCAACTACTTGAGGTGCCTATGGGCAAGGCCAGCATTACCTATTGGATTAATAAGTATTGATTGAGGGTCACTGTGCTTGAATGCATGGAGTAAATTACACAGGGTCTCTTCCTCTCTAGTGTAAGACTAAGGGGCCTATGATGTCATCATCATTAACAATACTAATAATGAAGCACTGGCAGAAGGGAGGGAGTACCTTGTCTCTGGGTCAAGAGAACTTGGGTGTAAGTGACACCTCTGACACCCACTAGCTGTGATGCAGGGCAAGTCACTTAATCTCTTAGTGCCTCAGACAACTAAGAGCAGAAATTGCAGAATAGTTACAGATGTGTGTTACCGGAGGATTTGCTTTCTTTTGTTATGAGTTGAAAAGAGAAGCAGAGAGAGAGAGAGAGAAAGATGGATGAAAGGAAGGGAGGAATCTTTGTCTTCAGTCAAGGCTCAGATAAGGTTCCATATCCTCTGTGAAGCCTTAGCTGATTCCCCAGGTTGTTAGAGCTGTCTCTGCCTCAATTCTCCTTCAACTCCACTTATTTGTATATATGTTGTATGTCCCCTCCCCAGCTACACACACACACACACACACACACACACACACACACACCCCAGTAGAATATAAGGTCCTTGAAGACATTTACTATTTCATTTATGTCTTTGAATCCCCAGCACCTAACACAATCTTGCATGTAATAGGCATTTAAAATTTTTTATCTTATGTTTATTTTTATTACATTTTGAGTTCTGAATTGTCTCCCTCCATTCCTCTCTCTCAGCCCCACATTAGAGAAGGCCAATTTGACACATATATATGGAACCGTACAATACATACTTCTATATATCAGTTCTTTCTCTGGAGATAGATAGCAGTTTCCTTCAAAAGTCCTTTGTAGTTGATTGGAATGATTGTATAACTCAGAACAGCTTAGTCATTCAGTTATTCTTCGAACAACACAGCTGCTACCGTATAAGAAGTACTCTTGGTTGTACTCATTTCACTGCATTATTTCATGCAAGTCTTTCCATGTTTTTCTAAAATCAACTTGCTCATCATTTCTTATAGGCCGGTAGCACTCCATTAACATAATAGGCATTTAATAAACATTTGTTTAATTGAATTGACTCAAACCTAACTGTTCCAACTTCCAGTTCATTGGTCTTTCCAATCAGCTAGGAACATCCCTGGGGGCAGTGTAGGCCTGTGGAAAATTACACTGTGTTCCTTACCCCCACCCCAACCCCTCAGAACCACGTTCACCTTTTTTTATCTATGCAAATTAACATAAAGGGCAGGTTTGAGGGAGGTTTGTGAAGGGAGCAGGGGAGAAGTCAGTTCCCACTGATAAATATAGTACAGGGGAAATTGAGGGAGAGATTTACTAATACCTCAAGTCAGAGGGAAGAGGCAAGATAGGGGAAAGTTTCATTGAGGTGGTAGCACCTGTGGGGATAAAAATCTGCAATGAGGAGAAACTGAGGCACAAAGTCTGAGCATGATCATTTATTAGTGAGGCTAGCAGCTGCCAATAAGTGAGATCCCAAAGCCCCTCAGTGGCCAGAGATGCATTAGAGCAGATGAAGCAGTCTTTTATACAACTGGTTGTATAAGGTTCAGTGATGCTACACTAGGATTGTGATTGGTCTAGAGTAGAGGTGGAATACAGGTGTGGGGTGGACTTACATTTGGCATCATCATGCTGACTTGCCAAATGGGGTTTCCAAAGTCCAGGGCAATGAGGAAAATATGGAGTTAGTCAACATCCTCTGGGAAGTCCTACATCAAAGACCACATATTCCAGAGTGGTCTCATACTAGGCTTATGGCCAGGCAGAACAAAAATACAGCAATTTCACACATCTGAGCTGAGCCCTGAAAGAAGACAAGGATTCTAAGAGATGAAGAGGGTGCATCCCAAGCATTAGAATTAACAGCGCCTTTCTCAATCTAACATCTTGCATATGGAGCAATGGGGATTTAGGGCTGAGGCTGGTGACAGGAGGCTGGTGAGAAAAAGAGGAAACATACCAATAGTAGAGAGAATGATGCAATTTTTGAGGGGACAATAACAGTATTGTTCCTTGCAAACCCTGTCTTCCATTCCACTAACTCTGGTTTTTGATGGGTTATCTATGGTCCTTGACACCAACCAGACACTGTTGAGTTCCAGTTCTAACCAGATGCTTCATTGTAGTTCCCATGTTATGAGTTAGTCAAGACTCTGAAACCAGATTTCCTGCATCTAACACTAATGCCCAGGCTCATGGGAAGTCCAAGTTAGACCTCCTATGAGTTATACTCATTTGCCTGCTCAAGGCAGGGCTCAAATTGTGTAGGTTCTAAAACAATCGGGTCCAGACCAATACTATATCTGGAGACTTCCAAGCTCTGGAAGAGCAATGAGTTCAAGGTCATTCCAGGGATGTTTATTTTCTTACTCTAACTTGTGTTATCTTGTTATTAAGTAGAGTTTATTTATTAATTCTATGCCAAGAGCATAATGCTGTGCTCAGTGTTCTATCATGGACTTACACTTCCAGGAGAAACAGAAGCCATTATGACAATGACTAGCATTCACCAAAATAAGAGTGTTCAAATAAGGGTGGGGGTGGCAAGTGGGTGGGATAATCAAAGCTAAGTTCTAACTGAGTAAATCACAAATCCACACATCCCTAGACAATGCTTGGCAGACAGAGACAGAGCTGACAAAAACTAGCTCCTGGAGCAGCTAGGTGGCACAGTGGATAGAGCACCGGCCCTGGATTCAGAAGGACCTGAGTTCAAATCCAATCTCAGACACATACCAATTACTAGCTGTGTGACCCTGGGCATGTCACTTAACCCCATTGCCTAGCCAAAACCGAAACAAACAAACAAAAAACCTAGCTCCTCTGGTCTGACCCTTCCCAGTGACAAAAGTAAGAGCTCAGAACTTACTCAGCACTTCCAGCACACTTCAACATGGGCAAATAGGGGGTTGCTGGAGTCAGTTCTAACTAATTGCCCAGAGCCCATTGTTAAATTTTCAGTGTAAACATTTACATCTCAGAAATTGGCAATCATTACAAATCAGAACTTGAGTTATTGCTTTGCTGATGGTCACTCCAAACTCAGGAAAATGATGGAGAAAATGTCAATAATGCAGATTAAACTTAAAAGTGTGTTCTCAAACTTAGAACTCAAAATTTTTTTAAAAGATAGTTTAAAAAATTACGTATAATTGGGAAATACTCAATGAAATAAATAAAAATATATTTTTTCAAAAAAGAAAGAAAACAGAAAAAAGTGTGTCTTCTGTACTCCCCTGTTCCCTGTTCCCCTTTCTGTCCACCCCACACCAGAGTACATTTGTTAAACATTTACAAGATCTGTTAAAGACCTTAGCTTGAAAAGACCAAGGTCCCTACTGCATCCTGGGCCATCTCTAGTTGTCCTAATCTGTCCACTGAACCCAGATGGCTCTGGGGGAGAAAGTAAAGCTGGTGACTTTGCACAGCCCTCCCTCACTTAAATCCGATTCACTTGCATGTCATGGTATCAAGTCCCTGATGTCATGGTCCTCTTCGAGAAGGAAGGACAAACAACAACCACCAGCACCCTATGTTGTTCTATAGGGGCTGCTAGGTGATGCAATGGACAGAGCACTGACTTTGGAGTCAGGAGGACCTGACTTCAAATCTGGCTTCAGACACTTCCTAGCTGTGTGACCCTGGGCAAGTCACTTAACCCTGTTTGCCTCAGTTTTCTCATCTGTAAAATGAGCTGGAGAAGGAGATGGCAAACCACTCCAGTATCTTTGCCAGGAAAATCTCAAATGAGGTCATGAGGAGTCAGAAACAATGAACCACACAAATATTGTTCTATAAACATTATTTGAGCTCAGTATAATAGAAGACTCAGGGAATGAAGTCATCACCAGATAGGAGGCCTGGTGACTGTAAGCTAACAACAATAATAATGATAACTGGCATTTATATGGCGTTTTAAGGTTTAAAGTGCTGTATGCCCATTATCTTATTTTGAGCCTCACAACAAGCCAGTATGCAAGCCAAGGGTGAGCATGGGACTCCAGAGGAAATGGTTATAAGCGCCACCTAGTGGTCAAATGTGGATGTTGCTGTTCGTCCTTCCTTTTCAAAGAGGACCAATGACATAATGGGTGATGCCTTGACTTTCTAGACAGTGAGATTTAAGTGAGGCACAGATGCACAAAGTCATAAGCCTCACTCTCTTCCTGAGTCATCAGAGTCCAGTGGCAGGATAAAAATCAAGATTGACTGGCAAT